GATAGTCATTACTAATACTTCTTCTTTGTATTATATTTCTGTTGTAATATATCTTTGTATTCCATACCTGTGTTCATGTTATTCTTTGATTGGTTCTAACCTTGGAAGATCACCATGGTACAAGGAACTTGGACCATCACCGTGGTACAAGGAACTTGGACCATAACAATTTGTTACACACATTATTGTCTGTGTTGCTTGTATACATTTGTTGTTAAATACATTATCATTCGTTTATAAATATATATATTAGTTCTTGTCATTTCTTTATATTTCTTTACGTGAAATCACATTCTGAGTCTGTCATGTTTGTTGTGGGTATTTCACGAGACACTGACATTACTAATGCCTGCAACAAGTTGGGAAACGTATACAACCGCCTGCTACATTTCTACTTCAACTCTATACATCTAATGTCTCTGCATAAACCCTGAAAGTTTTACTATTTTTTTTTCTCAAGAAGTAGATAGGTTCACTTATCGTCCAGTTCATACTCCTCTCCAGTCATCTGAACAAGAGTAGAAGCTCATCCTTTATTTCTTGTTTTCGATTCAGTGTTTGGTTCCTTCTAAATTTTATTTCAACTCTATACTTCTAACATCTCTGCCTAAACTCTGAAATTTATACTATTATTTGATTACTGGCTCATTCCAATATCTTTTTTTTTCTCTTTCACATGCAGCAGCCCCTTATGTTTTAGTGGCATTATCACCTTATTTAGGTTGAATTGATTAAAAAAAAAACAACTTATTTCAATAATTCTGTTCAGTTATAGGAAAATCTAATTAAAATACTTGTTTTGACTTATTTTGATAATTCCATAAACATTTTTTTCAGTTTTGCTTGATATTTTCGTACTAATGTGAAATATCAGATGATTATAATACTTATTATTATGAATGTTGTAGGTTTTCTAACTTATGAATGAATTTTGCCAGGGAAGATATAAATTCCTTCTGTACAAAAACAATTTAGAAATAAAACTTTATTGACATAAACATTGCTTATGTATTACATTAAAATTTGAAATAAAATTAAAAATGAATAACACAGATGATATATTTATTAGAACGTCCTTTTAAAATTGTTATACAAATCAAATGTTACCACTTATATTACAAAGACAATTTGTTAGTAACATGTACAAGACTAATAGCAAATACCTATATGTTCAATTGTTCATGATATCTATGACCCCCACTTCTGAAAAGATACAGAACCTGACACTTTTCCTGGGAAAGTTTTAAGATAATATTAAGCTCAATACCCAGAGGGGCCATCCCCCCAGGTAGTACCTCTCCTTTGGGAGGGGTTATTACCCAGTGCCTGAAGATCCCTAAAAAGAGGAAGTGCCAAGGGGCCTTGAGCAATTTTTCCATGGTATTGCCATTAAACCCACTTTAAAATGACCTTTTGCCATATTCAGTAGCAATGTGGATGCACTTAAAAATACATACCTCTCCTTCAGGAGGGGTTTGGGAGCATTACCCACAGTCATCCCTAAAAGGGGAAGTGCCAAGGGGGATTAAGCATGGTATAGGCAGTCTGTTTTGCTCTGCTGATATAAAGTAGGGACACGGAGAGAAAATTCAGCCTCACGCAGATTTATCAAAGAACCACCATTAAAATCAACCCAATGCCTGTAGGGGTCGCAGTTGAAAGACATCAAAAGAAGTGATTTATTAAAACTGCTATTCTCGTCTTGGTTGCTATAGTTACAAGATCTCAACGATTGTACTCAATGACCTTCTTCTTGCTTGTATTCAGTAACATTCTCATCGTTTTATCAGTCCATTCCAATGAACTTGAACTGTTCTCATACTGCTGTCCATTTCAGGCAAGGCGGGGTTATGACCTTTTGGGGCCCCTAGGCTAATGGGATTATGGACCCTCCCTCAGATGGTGCCAATCTCTAACTTGCCAGCCAGCACCTGTCCTGAATATTTTTTACTCATGATATATTTTAGTGACATTTACATAGCTTGAGGTAAACTTATTGCAAATTCTTTAAATAATCTGGTCAATATAAATAATTTGTCAATAAAAATATTCTTTAAGAAATAAAAGCATTTTACTATTTATTGCAAAACAAATCAGCACAACACAACTGTAGTAAAAAGGGAGATTTTTTATAACTAGCATTATAACAATAAAATAAGAAAAATAAGAAACAAGTTTATCATACTGATATCATTTCAGTTTATGAAACTTTATTACTTATAACATATAGACCAGTGGTTCCCAACTTTTTTTTATCTATGCTCTGCATAAGTATTATTAAAATCCTGATGCCCCCCATGCCTGTGACATATAATTCTCATTATTCAAAAAGCGAAAAGGAATCCTAAAAAGTGAAAAGGAATCCTAAAAAGCCATTAACTTGGTCTAAACAACCTTCCAAAGAACATGGCATCCATGAAAAAAAAATAAAAGAATGAAAAGATTGTTGAAGTATTGAGGAAGAAATTCTTTAAAAATAAAATATATATATATATATATATATATATATATATATATATATATATATATATATTCTGTCCAAAAAATAAAATATATATATATATATATTAAATACATATGTAATTACACATGTACATACATACACACCAATATTTTTAAGTAGGCATACTGTATTTGCAATGTAAGTATTGACTCACACATATACATACTTACACAGACTCACTAGAAAAAAATAACTCATTCTTGTTGTTAATAAAGCAAAAGCTTTTATAACAAGCATTATAACAATAAAACAATCAAAATAAATATGAGTTTGTCATCGTGATATCATTTCAGTTTATGAAACTATTTAGAAGTTATAACATCTAAAAATTTAAAAACATTGCTTTATAAAAAAATTTTAACATTTTGAGCTAGCTTGACAGAATAAGTAATAATAAATAAGCATTCTGAACTATGGAGAGCCATGATCACCGAGGAGACATCAAAGATGTTATCTACTTGAAACACAATGGCATAAACTAAAATATTCTTATGAGTTTGTCATATTGATATCATTTCAGTTTATGAAACTATTTAGAAGTCATAACATCTAAATAATTAAAATCACTGCTTCTAAATATTTAAAAATCACTGCTTAAATATTTGAATATTTAAATATCCTAAACTAAAATCAAATGTTTTATCTACTTGAACCACAGTGTGCATGATGGATTCTGATGAGAAAAAAGTTTTGGGGCTGTCGGGGAATGGAAACTATTCTTTAAGCAAAATCAGATTTGAAATATGCAAAGAAAGCTGATGAAGCCATGAATACAACCAGGTCCAGATTATGATATTTTGGGACCCCTAAGCTAATGAAATTATGGGACCCTCTGAGAAGGATACATTCTCTAACTTGCCAGCACCTACCTGAAACACAATGGCATGTTAATTCTTCTGTTATTTTATCCATTTGACCTGGAATTTAAATTTTTGAAGCTTATAGTTAACAGAGAATCAAGAAATTGGAAGAGTGTTACACAGGTGGGAAGTACAAGACAAAAAAAATTTGTTTGAGTAGAAGTGACATTTGTATCTAGCTAATTCAACAGTTAAGATGGTGAGACCTGGTTACCAATCTAGTAGCACATTTAAATTCAAGTAATCAGGGTACCAGGAAAGAAAGCACATCCAAGTAGTTACCATGAAAATATTTGTAGAAAAAACAAAGGAAGCCATGTCACATTGGTGAGAAAGTGACTAAAGACATGATGCCTTGTCAGGATCAATTGTATTGCAGACCGTTCTCTGTCAAGAATCTTGAGATGCACAGTAGGAGCACCAGACCAGATATGGTAACAGTCTTCAATACATGAACGAATGGTAGATTTATCAATGTGCAAAATGGATTCTGATGAGAAAAATTTTTTTGGCTGTGGGGGAATGGAAGCTATTCTTTAAGCAAAATCAGATTTGAAATATGCAAACAAAGCCGAAGCCATGGATACAACCAGGTCCAGATTGTGACATTTTGGGGCCCCTAGGCTAATGAAATTACAGGACCCTCTGAAAGGGAGCCATTCTCTAACTTGCTAGCATCTGTCTTGAATATTTTTTTTTACTTCCAATATATTTTAGTGACATTTACATTGTTTTTTAAATAAACTAGAGTAGTCATTTTTTGATTGTCAATAAAAATATCCTTCAAGAAATGCCACTATTTTACTATTGAAAACCAAATTAGCACAGATTTCAACACAACCATAGTAAAAAATGAACGTTTTTTTATAACAATAATGAAAATAAATATGAGTTTGTTATATTGATATCGTTTCAGTTTATGAAACTATTTAAAAGTTATGACATCTAGAAAATTAAAATAATTTCTTTACAAAAAATTTTAAGATTTAAACATTCTAAACTAGTCAAACATGTTATCTGCTTGAAACACAATAGTATGTTAATTCTTCTCTTATTTCATCGAGTTCACCTTATGATGTCACTCTTGCTTGTATGGATTCTGCTGACTTTCTCAGAGATTGAACTCACCATTGTTAGGTACACTGTAACACTTAATCAATGTTTATCTCTACTAAGTTATTATAGATGTTATGTAAAAAAATCAGAAACAAAAAAAATTATTCTCTATAAAGCAAATATTCTTTTTGATGGAGTGCACTACAACAGTGACTCTGTTCCTAAATAAAGTGAATCTTAAAAAAAATACCTGCTACATGAAAGATCAGTACTTACTGATGGAAGAAATTTCTATTTGGTGCAAAAGAAATGAATTGCTGATATTAAAATGATTTTTGAATGGTACTTGTAAAGGTTTGCTTGATTAATCATTTATGGGAGCTTCACATTACAAGAATGTTATGAGTTTCAATATGAAGGAATTCACTTAATTGAGAAAAATAGACACTTCTCTGAACAGGCCAAAATAGGGTAACACTTCTCTGAACTGACCAAGATTGAGAGACACTTTTCTGAACAGGCCATGATAGGGAGACATTGCTCTGAACAGGCTGAGATATGGAGACACTTCTATAAACATGCTAAGAGATAGAGAAAAATACTTCTGAACAGACTAAGGTAGGGAGACACTTCTCTGAGCAAACCAAGAAAAGGAGACATTTCTCTGAACAGGTTGAGATGGGGAGACACTTCTCTGAAAAGGTTGAGATGGGGAGACACTTCTCTGAACAGGCTAAGAGAGAGAAAGATACTTCTGTACAGACCAATACAGGGAGACACTTCTCTGAGTAGGCCGAGAAAAAGAGACACTTCTTTGAACAGTTTGAGATGGGGAGACACTTCTCTGAACAGGCTAAGAGAGAGAAAGATACTTCTGTACAGACCAATATAAGGAGACACTTCTCTGAGTAGGCCGAGAAAAAGAGACACTTCTCTGAACAGTTTGAGATGGGGAGACACTTCTCTGAACAGGTTGAGATGGGGAGGCATTACTCTGAACAGGGCAAGATAAGGAGATACTTCTATGAACAGGCTAAGAGAGAGAAAGATACTTCTATACAGCCCAAGATAGGGAAACACTTCTCTGAGCAGGCCAAGATCAGGAGACACTTACCTAAACAGGCTGAGAGAGAGAGAGAAAGAGAGAGAGAGAGAGAGAGAGAGAGAGAGAGAGAGACTGTTCTGAATAAGTCAAGATAGACACACTGTTCTTCAAACAAGCTATGAGAAAACCCTATAATATACAAAAGCCTCAATTTCAAGAGCTTTTCTGAAGATTGACTAGTGATGGCCAGTGGAAAGTGAAATCTGAATCCAACTTGTAATTTATGATATGTTCTAACACCTTTTGTTTTTGCATTTTCCAGTCAGATGTTTATCACTTACACACACACACACACACACACACACACACACACACACACACACAGACACACACACACATATATATATATATATATATATATATATATATATATATTTATTTATTATGCATTTTTACATTAGAACATGTACATACCCACTACAAAACTGTACATCTTGATTCAATGTTAAAAATTTAAGTACACATTGTGATTTCCACCTGTAGAAACATTAGTTTAATTTTTTTTTTTAACATTGAAACAAGATGTACTGTTTTGTAGTGGGTATGTGCATGTTCTAATTTAACCCTGCATAATAAATAAATATTTATGGCTCTACTTTTGTATTGAGCCTTGTTTTAAACTAATGTCTTGAATGCTGAAATCTTACTCTTTGTTCTTTTACATTTGGATATACATACATGTGCATATTTATATATATATATATATATATATATATATATATATAAAAGTGAACATTAAAATCAACACTCAAAAGCGACAGGACGTTTCATGCTAGACACAATTGTTAGGTTATAAGTGTTGTTTTTTTTTTTCAACTATTTATATATACAGGTCAGTGGTGCATTGTGGGTAGTCCATTATGCCAGTTATTTTCATGGGAGTGGTTAGTTGGGTTAATTTATTTGACTAGTTTTTATTTATTTTATTATATATATATATATATATATATATATATATATATATATATATATATATATATATTTTAGTCATCTACAGACAGACTGTTTTGCTGTATCACATCCGGTTGTTTCAAGCTGGGATTGAAACCTGAAATTTGACATCAGTCAGATATCTTACCTCTAGGCCATCATCGCACTGCAGAAAGGAAGGGAATTTTAACCTTTTTCTCTATACAAAATATGTCAGCGGCTCGGAAAACTCAATTCAATTTACTTGAAGAGTAATACTTAATAGCAAAACCCCCTATATATATAGTCATCCACAGACAGATATATATATGTGTGTGTGTGTGTAAATAAAAACAAAAGGAACAATTATCTTAGCCAATGTGTTTTGTTTTGTCCTCTGATGGACTTTATCTAGGCAAATATAAGGATTTTATCTTGCAACAAATATTTATAAATAAACTATGTCATTAGCTTTTCAAAATGTTTAAATTTAAGAACACGCATAAATATACATTATACTAATTGAAACATCAAGTTAAATTATGGAGGATGCTAAATGATGTAATTTCATGCCGAATAAACAAAAGTGAGTAAATGTGACTTTTTATTTTTTTATTTTATAATGTAATTATTATTTATATTATTTTCATTTGGGATTGATGTATGTATTATATGTTTTAAATAAAAGGAGGTTATGAATTTAATTGTTTTGCTTTTTTTAATTTTAACATTTTATAGTCATGTATCTTGGCTTGGGAGGGGAGTAATTCTTTCAGGAATGGAGATATTTGAACAGGGCACAGATTTATATTTTGCTAAGATTCAATACTGGCACTCTCAAGAATTATCCATCTAAGTAAATTACTATCTCTTTTAATAAGTGTGCCATTCTTTTGATCAAAGTTGTAGTTGAATTTATTTCTATGGATAACCAATGTATTTGATAAATTGTTGTGTATAAGGTCCTGTTTGGGTTCATAAATACATTTTTAAATTTCTGCAAGTTTCCCCAATATATTCTGAAGAGCAGTTGTGAGAGTTTATTTTATATATACCGGCTTCAAAATTATTATTGTTATGGGTATTTTTGGTTCTGATCATATCTATAAAAGTTTTGAATGTGGTTGTAATTATTTTGATGTTGTTTAGATTGGATAAATTGGTTTGGATAATAGATATTAAAGTGTTAGTAGGTAGTGTTATATGTCTGTTTTTATGTTGTTTATTGTCATTGTTGTTAGTAATAATGTTATCATTTTTGTGGTTGTATATTTTCTATGCTTTCCCTTAGCATTTTGGATGAAATAATGAGGATAGTGGAGGTTTTTAGAAGTGTTTTCTATATATTTCTTCTTCATGTAAGTATTGAAGTCTGCAGATTCTGAGTGCTCTTAAATAGAATCCTATAATTATTTCAGATTTTATTCTGTTACAGTAGAGAGAATAGAAATTAATAAGGTAATTCTCAATAATAGATTTTCTGTCAACCTCCTCTGTCATTATTAGTTCTATGTAGCATGATATCTTGGAATGGTAAAGTTGGCTAAAATAAGTTTTCCTTTTTTGTCTTTATTCATATTGTCCTTTTATAGATATATTTTTATTTATATCTGAAAATTTACAAACACACATGCACACATATATTTATATATATGAATAAAGACAAAATAAAAACTTATCTTAGCCAACATGTTTCATCCTCTGATAGACTTTATCAAGGCAAATGTAAGGATTTTATTTTACAAGAAGTATTTATAAACAAAGTCAAAATGTTGTTAGTTTTAAAAAACAACAAAAAAATTCAACAACATTATTTACTCACTTTCATTTATAAGATATTAAATTATGTCACTTAGAATCTTCCATAGTTTACTTTGACATTTCAGTTAACCTAATGAGTATTTATGAGCATTTTTTTAAACTTAAAAAATTCTGAAAAACTAACATTTAAAGTTTTGTTTATAAATACTTATTGCAAAACAAAATCCTCACATTTGTCTTCATAAAGTCCATCAGAGGATGAAACATGTCAATTTTCTTTTTGTCTCTATTCATATTGTCCTTTTACAAATATATTTTAGTTGTATCTGAAATTTTATGCACATACACACTTATATGGTGGGATTGCCAACTTGTGTCCGAGCACAGCCATTACTAACCTTTTCAAGAATATCTACTGATGTGCTGAATGGATGTGGCTCTTTAGCCCAGCAAGGGACCTACATACTCTGGCACAAACAGCGCACTTAAGAGGTGCAACAAAAGGTGTTACATTATCAATAATAATTTAAAATGTTGCATGAATGCGCTTCTGGACCTGCATGTCTTACCACAAATATCATATTTCACTTGCTGGGCATCTACAGCTTCATAGTCAATTGCCACCGTCTATCAGTGGGCTCTCAAGTTACTCTTTAGACCAGCCATTGACAAACACACTCTATCACAATCTGTACATGTCAGATTGAGCTGCCTACAGGTGACTTCAAGAAGTTCAACGCAGACGCCTTTACACATGTCTCTTTTAAGCTTATATATAAATATATACATATATATATAATATATAATGTATATATATATGTATATATATATGTATATATATATATATATATATATATATAATATAAGCTTACATATATATATAATATATAATGAATATATATAAGCTTATATAGCTATATATATATATATATATATAATATATGATATATATATATATATATATACAATATACGCTTATATATATATACATATATATATATATATATAATATATATATAATATAAACTTATATATATATACATATATATAAGCTTATATATATACATATATATATATATATATAATATATACATAATATTAGTTTATATATATATATAATATATATATATAATATTAGATTTATATATATATATATATATATATATATATAATATTATTTATATATATATATATATATATATATATATATATATTAGTTTTATATATATATATATATATATATATATATATATATATATTAGTTTATATATATAAATATATAATATATATATAATATTAGTTTATATATATAAATATATAATATATATATAATATAAGCTTAGATATATATAAATATATATATATATATATAATAAGGTTATATATATATAAATATATAATATATATATATAATATAAGGTTATATATATAATAAATATATATAATATAAGGTTATATATATAATAAATATATAATATAAGGTTATATATATATATAATATATATAATATAAGCTTATATACATATATGTAATGCATATATATAATATAAGCTTATATATATAATATAAGCTTATATACATATAATATATTATATATATATATATAACATAAGCTTATATACATACATACACACACACATATATATATATATATATATATATATATAATTTGATAGTTAAATCATTGGCAAGCTAATTCTATAAAGATTATTGACCATGCAATTCTGCAGCAAAAACATAACTGTTCAGGCAATTGATATAACAAATTCATTGGGCATGTAATTCTATATGAACAAAAATCATTGGCAAAGTAATGCTATAATAAAATTGTTGGCCAATCGATTATTTGTCGTAAAACATCATTGGCATTTCAGTTGTATAATAAGTTAATTCATTCCATTCTATAATAAAAGAATACTTTTCACAATTGGAAATTTTTAAGAATGTCAACAGAAATAATTGTGACAATTTTGCTGTGATAATCTATGAAAACAGACTAACTGAATTTTCTAATAGAATACGACATCATATTTTCAATTGGCAAAACTGTTGAAATAAGTTTCCTACATTGCAAAGCCAGAGACCAACCCATCTTTCCCCCTGGGTAGGTCAGCTTCCTTTTCAGCCTTTCTCCATTCACAAAATACCAATTGACTTAAGGCTTGACCTGAACCAATTCTAAAGACTTCCTCTATTGATTCCCATTCTTTTCTCAAGGATTCATTTCATTTATGTTTTTCACATGAGGCTAGTCTGGTAAATCGAGTGCATCCCATCATGTGATTGTGATGAACGGTCGCATTGGTTATGAGGTTAATAAATTAAATAAACAAGACCATCTTGTACATAGGACATGTCCCTGCAACTTTAATTATCTGTTGATGCTATACAAAGACATATCAATTGAAGGATACAGGTAGATAGATATATTGGTAAATATTAACAGACTGAGATGGATAGAAACATATAGATTAATAAGCATGTACAGGGTGTCCATAAAGTCTCTTTACAATTTAAAAAAATTATTACAAAAGCAAATGAACAGACAAATATGGGGAAATTGTTACAAAATGATAAGTAGATAC